TACATACATACATGTATATCTATATATACATATATGTATATCTATATGCATGTACATATATATATAATATTATAATATGACATATATATATATACACATACATACATACATACATACATCAAGTAGAGCATACCTGACTCCAAGACAAGACATTGTTTGTTAAACTGCGCTGGTTCTCTCGAATCCTGGATACGTCCATCCGTCCATCCATCCTTCCTTCCTTCAGTCCATGCATGCAAGAAGCGTGCGTCGGTATATCCAAGTACAGGACATGTACCTGGATATACAGACGCACACATTGTGTGGAAAGGTCACACATCTGCAGGTGTTCGTATACTCATGCACAGACAGACTACGGTTGTTGCGGCTTGTTGCCCACTCCTAAATTCCATCCCTTTCTGCCTTCGCTATGCTTGATACCCCCCGCCTCGAGGCGCTGGTGGGCAGGGGGTTGGGCCGGGCAGTGATGGGCGGTGGGGGGCTTGGGTGTGGAGGGGTTGGGGGGCGGGGGCAGGGCGGGGGTCGGTCGGGGGGACTGGGGCTTCGAACTTTTTGAAAGCTACGAGCTTACAAGCTTTGGAGGTTTCAGTGAGAAAACATGAAAAAACAGTCAGCCACTGGTACAACATGTAAGCTTCATGCACTGCACAAGTCCCAGCGACAGCAGTGCCTGCAGGCCTTCTCAGCTGCTGAGGAGATCCCCTCCTTGATGCTGTGCACGCGTGGCCGCTGCAAAAAGTTTGGGGTAAACGGTAGAGGGTTTAGGTAGGTTTCTGCAGTCCAGTTCTTTGTCAGGCCCGAGTCGTTGGATGCGTGCTTTTGGGGTTTGACGGTGGCAGCCGATTTGTCCCAAGACGTCGATTACAACACAGGGCCCGCGATATGGTGTCGCTCAACTATCTCTAACAAGTGCGTGAATCAATCGGCCTGTGCGACGGGTAGGTTCAAAGCAAGGCCATGCAGCAGCCGCTGCCAAAATGTGAAGAAACATACATGCAGCGTGCCATCTGTACCCGTCGGAAAATGCAATGTTTTGCTGTCTAACACAGAAGTAGAACGGCGTCTCTTGCAGCGTCTTTGTCCGTACAGGGTTGTGCATGAAGCTGAAGGTGTGGAACGCATGTTTTCGTACCCCTTCAGCTCACAAGCAAACGTGTCTCTGAAGCAGCGCCTGGAATAAAACTGGCCCATGTCACACGGCTCCTGCTGGTGAGGCCGCTCGCACAAACCTTGAACAGCTACCTGTGCAGCAGGGAATTCGAAGGTTGACCTGTAGGACGTGTCTGCCATTTTTATATAATGTAATCATGCAGTTTTAATCTAAATATCAAACTTATACAGTTGAATACTATGGTATAGTACGTTATAACATAGTAGTGAAATCGCTGGGCCTCCTGTCTTGTTCCACGCCTTGGTGCAGAAGAGGGGCGAGCTCGGGTCGAAGACACTTTTAGCCCGGTTAAGGGTTTATAAGGGTTTAGGGAACTTCATGGTTCGAGTTTAGGTTTAAATGTTGAGGATTATGGATGTTCACAGGTTATAAGTTTTGGGCTCAGGATCCCCTTACCCTGCTGTTGCTCTCGCGTGGCCGGGGCAAGGCTCACTACAAAGCCTGAGTAGCCTCAATAGTTACCTAAGGCAGTTAATGCTTCTGTCGGATGTAGGCCCCAAAGGTTTTATGCCTTGGAGAAGTGCCATAGTAAACGCTTGAATAGGTCGAAGAGCATGCCATAAGACATGAGAATGGTTGCACTTATAGTCTCTGACTTATGAGCTTAGGCAAATAGGGGTATATGTTACCATGGTCTGGCTTTGCAGTGGTATGCAACAAACCAGCACTCATGATGCCGCCTGTCACCAGCATATCGCATGACAAAACAGTCTTACGGTGATCAAGCGTAAGCCGCAAGCTGCCAAACGCATCTTTCGGGGTCAGGGCCACACTGGAAACCGTGAGGAGAGAAGATGTGGCAAACGAGCACCGGGCTCGGGCGGGGGGGGGGGGGCTGCCGTGGAGTGTGGACGTCGTGGTGTGAGTGTGATGGAGGTGGGTGTGTGGGGGGCGTTGGGGGGGGAAGGAGGGTCACGAGCTTTGTGACGGGGGCAGCTGGTAGTAGTAGTCAAAAAGCCACGCTGAAAAGTAAGAATCTGCAGGCAGGTTGTGGTGAGAAGTGTGGTAGGGGCCTGGAGGGTGATGGCCACGGCATGGTGGTGCCGGTAGCCATGCCCTTCACGGAGGCGGCTTGCGTTTTGCGCGTCTATCCATCTGCTGACAGGATTTAGCATGTTAAGGCTGAGGGTTTAGTGAGTTTAGTGTGGGATTCTGGGTTGTCCAGCGCTTGGGGTGCAGGCTCTCGAAGTCTGCATCTGTGTCAATTAGGATGTGGCTTAAGTAGGTGGGTTGCCTCCTGGTACGTAGCATCAACAGAAGCGTTTTCTGCCGTATCTACGCGTTCGACGTGCAATTCTCTAAAGAAACGCTCTTCTAGATTAAGACAACACGTTAGCTATGGAGATTGTGCTGTGTCCGAGACTCCAGGGGGTGCGAGGTGGACGTGCAATTTTCTAAGTAAACGCTCTGCTAAGTCAAGAAAACAGTTTTGCTACAAGGTGGACGCGCAAACTTCTAAATAAATGTTCCTCTAAATTCAGAAAACACTTATGAAACACATGAAGATTTTGCTGTGCCAGCTTTGAGTTTAGCAGGCTCTGAATGCCCTCGCATGCGTTCTGCTCACAGCTGCAGCATCCGCCAAAGGCGGGCTGGCTAAGAAAGATCCTGACGTCGTCCATGAAATTCGGTCCATATCTTACAGCCTGCCTGTCTGGGCATGCTGCGCCCATGTAATCCATGAAGGTGTTAGCCTTCGCTGCTTTCGCCCTTGCTGGTGCAGTGCGTCCAGCGATTGAGGGGGAAGCGGCCCACAGCAGTGGCCCAAGAGCAGGGAACCACCATGGTGTGGAGGAGCCTAAGCTCTTGCCGCGGACCTGCGATGCAGATGGGGTGCTGCGCCTCCAAACAGGAGTCAAGTATCGAACGGAGACAGCCAATCACAGTGTGGACCCTCGCTGCTCCATGCTCCAGGGGGCTCAAGATGCACAGATCTTGGTCTACTCTGGCATCTCATTTCCGGGTAATGCGGAGATCCGGGGACCCCTCAAAGTTACCATGGCGCCAGACATCCAAAGCATCGAAGCCGCGGCCATCAGCAGCAACGGGGACCTGCGGGTCCTTGTAGACGAGGGTAGCCCTATGTCCTTTCACGACATTGTCGGCGATGACGGTGCCGCCTTGATGGCGGGTGGCCAGATCATCCTAGAGGGTCAAGGGAGCATAGATTTCGAGAACTTGCACACACTGAGATCAGGCGCAGCAGTACGGGCCTTGACGTCTGAGGTTATCTGTGCTGTGGCTAAAGTCAGTGCCCGCAACTGTACGTCCAAAATGTTCGGAGGCGCCATATTTGCAGGTCGTGACGTCGATCTGCACAGCAATGGTGCAGTTATCTTCGAAGATTGCAAAGCAATAAACGAAGGAGGCGCTGTCGCCGCAAGCGGATCAGTATTTCTGGGTGGCAAAGCCGCGTATAGTTTCCGCCGCTGCAGTTCAGAATCTGCTGGTGGTGCGTTGGCTTCTAAGGGTTTCCGCCAAGACTTGGTGGTGGCACTTGGCGATGGAGGGTCTGCCGTGTTCGAAGAGTGTTGGGCCCTCGGAAGCCCCGGTGGCGCCATGCGTGCCGCCAATGATATTGTCATCCGAAGCGGCACGGTGAAGTCTGTGGGTTGCTGGGCTCACTCTGGCCGCGGTCATGCCCTTGCGGCTGAAAATGAAGTTCGCGTGGAGGAGGGTTCGGACGTCACCTTGCTTGGGAAGGATTACAACGGCTCAGACATCTCCGCAGACCTTGTAATCTTGCCCGTGGGTGGCGAAGTCCTTCCAGAGCAAGTCACTGCGAACACACTGTTGGCAGCCAAGGCTGCTGGTCAGAGCAACGCAACCTGCCCTGCAGGTTCGAGGTTCGTGGCTGATGGTAGCCGTCCTGGATGGCAGAACTGCAAACTCTGCGAGGCGGGGTCGGCCTCGCTGGTCCCATCCACAGTGGCCATCGAGGGTCAGATCTTGGAACCCAAAGCAGGAATGCGGCTCGTCCTTGTGAGGCAGGGCTCGCCCAACTCCCTGTCGTGCTTTCCATGGATGGAGCCGTCACCGAGCAACGCAACGGCAGTGCCTTGCTCCGACAGCATGAAAGGGTATGGCCTCGAGAGAGGCGACTGGAGTTACCTTGACGCTTTCGGCATTGAACTGGGTTCCAGCCACAACAACATGTCCTTTCGCTACCACGCAGGTGAGCTGTGGACGAGGGATGGCTTCGTTCTTGTTGTCCCATGGAATAATTATGTTCCTGGCTTTGTTGTTGGACTTGTGAAACAAGAAGGCATCCCCTGGAAGCAAGCCAACTTAAGTATGCAGTTCACTCTAGTCAACACTGCGGCGGGCATCAGCCTGAGCCCTGCAGCGAACCCCAATCTGGTTCTGGGCCTCGAGCACGAGGTGAGCTACATCTTTGAACCAGACTTCCGTGACACCTGCCTGCCCTGCCACCGCCTGGCATCAGCGGAAGCTGATAAACTGGAGTGTCCTGGTGGTGCACATGTCAGCACACTGCCAGGTTTCATGATCCTTCACCAACTCCAGCAGAGAAGAGTTGAAGTTCACAACTGCCCCAACCCGGCCGCCTGCCCTGGCAGCAACGTGAGCCTCAATGCTGATGGCCAGTACAGGCAGTCAACCCAGCTTTGCGGGCTTGGCTACGAGGCCAGCCCCGGCTGTGTGCGCTGTGCCCCTGGCTACGGGCGCCCCCAACTGGATGCGTTCCGTTGCCAGCCTTGCGGCAATACCACGTTGGCCCAGCAAGTGGCGGCCTCTGCGCTGCCCAGTGGGGCCTTCTTCGTCATGGCTCTTGTCTCCGCGAGGCAGGGATGAGAATTGATGATTCGACAAGTTCTCATGCTCTAATCACACCCACTGCCCGCTCTTGCAAGAAAAGCCGCAAACAAGCAACAGGTTTTAACTGTAATCACATCAGCTTGAGTGGTGCAAGAATGAGCCAGCGACCTGACAAGTGTTGTTACTATCGGAAAGCCCTGCACCCTCTGCTTCGACCTGCTGGGGCACAAGACAAAAGTCGCGACGTTGGGGCGTCTAGGAAAGATCGAAATCGAACAGGATGAAGCTCTTACTTTTTTGGTTTTTGGGCAGCTCGGATTTTCAAAGATGTTTTCGGTTTGGGGAAGGGTGGGGCAGGGGAGCGCACGCGAGCAGCTTCGATCTTGCATTTTGTGTCTAACGATTCTGGAGTGTCTGGGTGATGCGACCACCACGATCTGTGAACTCGACGCCCAGGGACACTTGCGAATCTTGCAGGCTGGACACTCCTGATCCTTAGACTTGGATAAGACGTGATAAGATTGACTGGAGAGTCCTAAGACGTTGAGGCGCTCTCCCCCAAAAGCCCTCCGTTCAAAATAGTGGAAGCCCGACATTCCGTTGCAGTTACAGCTAATCCTGCCAGGCCGCGCACGAACACTCAGCAGATCTTCAAGATCTTCTTGGCCTTTGTCACCATTTCCTGCCGAAGCTTATCAGCCATACCCCACACCCCGCACTTCAAGAGGCTCAAGACTGACCTCTATGAAACCGCTCGGGCGCTGTACCGTTGCCTCTTCGCCTTGGATTTGGTCATCACCATGGAGCCGGGAGTTTCAGGTGGATCGCTGGACTGCTGGCATTTGTTCGACGATCCTGTGGACGTGTACTGGAGCCTGTGTCTTACTTGGGCCATCCCTTCCTTTTACCTGCTCCTGTCGTGCATGAGGCATGCTGCTGCTGGGACTGGCTTCGTGAAGTCGATCGTGGTTTGGGGCAATTTGTTTATTCCCTCGCTTGCGGGCGCGGTCGCCAAGTTGGTGCCCTGCTTCGCGACGCAAAAATCCGGCAGCCGCACTCTCATGTATGAAGCGCCCTTGCAAACGCCCTGTGCCTCCAGCTTGGCGGAAGCTGCGAAGCTCCCGCGCCTCTGGCTCGGTGCAGGGACAGGGGCCGTCCTCCTGGTTGTGGGGCCTTTGCTCTGGCTATCCCTCCTGCTCGGCAAGCAGCATGAGAAAGAGACTGTGGGCTTCCTCACGGCAGGCTACAAGCCAGGGTTTCGTTGGTGGGAAACCATTGTCTTAACTCGCAAGGCAACCATCGTTGTGGTCTCAACATGCTTTCCACTGTCTTGGGCCCCTGGAGCTCACCTCGTCTATCTCCTCCTGGTGAACATCCTCGCAGAGATCTTCCATGTTACCGTCCGGCCATACGAAAGCCCATCGCTAAACCGGCTGGAAGCCCAGGCGCTTGCCGTGTCCTCCCTGTGTCTGGGCCTCGTCCTTTCACTACTAGCGGAATGGCCCTTTATGCCCTACTCCATCTATGTGACCAACACCACCCTGCTGTTCCTGTTCACCTTCGGCGCATACCTCTACTTCGCATGCCTTTACCTGCAGGCGATCCGTGCGAACAAGGGCGCAGACGAGCCGCCAGGGCGTGCAGAAGAGGAGGAGCAGTAAGTCCGGAGGCCCACGGGAGATGAAGCAGTGCTTACTTAGCGTGCCTCGGATTACCCCTAAGAGTGCTCATTCGATTAATGGAGAAAAGCAGTGAGCATCGCACAGGGCGGTCATAGAGCTGGCTGTGCAAGATGCACCTAAACTTAACCCCTGAAGGCCTTCAACGCGCTTTGCCGCCTGCGCCTCGAAGGAGACAGGAGGCCTGCAATAGATACTTGACTCTAGGTTTGAGGTTCAGGCCATGTTGCAGTTTCTGCCACCTGGCATTTGTTCTGGTCACTGGTTTATATAGTTCATAGATAACTAGATAGGTCGGTTGATCGACAGGCAGACATATGATGATATATCATGCATACAAACATAGCATTGTCAGATAGATAGATAGATAGATAGATAGATAGATAGATAAACAGATAGATAGATAGATAGATAGATAGATATATAGATAAAACATATATATATATATAGACAGATATATATATATATATATACATACATATATATATATATATGGAAGGGAGCAGTAACTCCAAGGCAAGACTTCCGATATCGTTTCCTGCAGGCCTTCTCACCAGCTGAGAGGATCCTCTCCCTGATGCTGTGCACGCGTGGCCACTGCAAAAAAAAAAACAACAGCCTGGCCGCAGCTCAGTTCGTTTCCGGGTTTATTAGGGTCTGTCGTTGCTTGGGTTGTTAGGTTGACGATTATGCCGATTTTTCAAGAGGTCCTTCATGAGAGCATGTATCACTTCACGTTGCCATGCACGTCCCACAGTATCGCCGCATCTGTGCGGATCCAAGAAAGTGAAGGTAAGATACCGATCTTGAGAATATTTTCTGTAACTGAGTATTGTGTTGATCAGCCAGTCTCAAAAACAAGGGGAGCTATACGTTTGTGCAGACATTAAGTCTGATGGCTTTGACATGCTTTGACAATAAATGTCTGGCATCCATGCAGGAGCGCAATAAGATTACTTTGAGTTGAATGCTACGGCGCCTGTACTTTTGCGATATTTTGCCAACATATGCCAAACCAACCGTAGCAAAGCAGGGCACTCATTGTGGAAGCTGTGCAACTTGCACTGCACAGGTCGTCACAAAAGTAGTTGTAGTTGCGATTGAATTCATCATGTGATTTTCAAAATGGAAGACTTCGGCGAGTCCTATGACTCATTGGAAGCACCCAAGTTTCCCACCATGTTGAAGATCAACATGTCTGAAACATGAGTTTGGCGATGATGTCCCGCGTCGCTGGCATCTTGTTGGGCAGGCCCGTCCTCCTGAAGTTTGACTTTACATTCTCGGGGGCAGTGATTGTGTCGAACTGGTATGGTACAGCAACCTGCAATCTTGGATGCACACATATATCCATGATGGGCTACACCCCGCTCGTGGCAAGCTGTGTTTCATGTGGTATTGGGCTGACCAAGGGCTATTGCCCGCAGATAAAGGTCCAACGCACTCCCTCCCCTTGTGTCCAGGGCAGAGATCTTTCGATTCGCTTCAGACGGATGAGTTTCGGAAAAGACTGCAGCAAAGGAAGTGTTCTGGTGTCGTTTCTTTGTTGACTTCGTTTCGTGTCGAATTGCCCGTTTCCCTCCCTCATTGCAGCCCCAATGCGATATCAAGTGAGGTTTTATTTTTGTAATTATAGATAATTATAGTCTGTCCAACATCATAGGAGCAGTGTATGCACTCATCCGGATATATCTCACTCCCTGCTGCAAGCCCTACTTCATCCACTCTGTCTGGGTTTGTCCCCCCATGCAGTGTGCACGCAGAAGCAGACTGGAAGGCAAATTCGATTGGATTTTCGTGCTGCCTGTTGACATGTTGCTTCCAAGCATGTGATGGGCACATACGTTTCGGTTCGTTTCGGTTTAAACACACGTTCGTGTGACTGTTTCCGCTTGAACCTGCACTTCACGATGCCCGTGCTGTTTACATGTTTCTGACGATGGGCCATTCAGACAGAAACCGATGCGAACGTTTGAGCTCGAGGTTGGGTGCTGTTCTCTCATAAGGCACCTTTTGCGGCAATGTCATCACCCGTCGAACTCATGTAACAGGTCATATACATCATGACACCGTGCTGTTCGTTGGCCGGGACTCGGCATTGTTACCAACTGCTTGATTTGGGTAAGCGCTATTCAGCGTTCATTTCACTTGTGTTGCTGCGTTTTGGCTCGAAAGGATTAGCAGATTAGCACATTGCCTAAACTACAGGCTTATACAGACTCGGAATTTGTGCCTGAGCCGCACGGCCTGTCCCTCTGAAATGGATCTCTCGCCCGTGTCTCCCTCAGTTACTTCCACAGTTACAGCTTCCGGCTCCGGAGTGTCTTGCGACTGACGAATAGGACTTCAGAGCAGGGTCAACGCAGAGCGCCGTTATGGGCCGCTCTTTTGGGATTCGAGGGCTTTCGACCTAAAGTTAGAACCTGATCTGATCTAGCACGAAGAGGTTTATGATTCAGGTGGGTTCGGGACTAGCGCCTTGCAGGTGCAAGGATGAAGTGAGGGAAGCTGCAAGTTGGAACACTGGAGAAGAGGACTCCCTGGTCGGATCTTCAGAAATTGGTTTTCAAGAACTCGGTAGTAACAAGGGCACATCTACACATGCACATCATGCGGATACGTGTATGTATGTGCACATCTCTATGTTTATAATGCAGAGAGAGACAGAGAGAGATAGAGAGAGAGAGAGAACGCGTACTTGCTACGTGACTCAGCAAGGCTTCCCCTGTTTTTCCAAAATGTTATCAACCTTGCCTGTCTTATTTTAGGCTCTGAGCTCCATTGTCGGATGAAGTAGTGTTCTGCATTGGTTCGTTTTTCGGGTGTAGGCTTTAGAGGCTTCCTGTTAAGGCATCATGGTGTGGAAGAGTATGGACTTCAGGGGCTTTGGGTTTAGGCTTCAGGTTTTGGGTTTAGGGCTAAGACTTGCGGGTGGATCGGGTGGTTTGGGGTTTAAAACCACATGGCAGCGTAATCGGCAACCTCAACCTATCCAAGTCTTTTCACCCCTTCTGCTCACAATCCGTCATTCTTGAAACTCTCTGGGCATTGATATCCTAAACCCTAAACTTTCCCTGAACCGTAAAACCCCGAAGCCCTGAACCCCTACACGGTAAACCCAAAGGCGCAGTTTTCGCCGGGAAGGGTCTGAAACTCAGACTGGGACACGGCTCGTTGGCACTTTGCGCTTCATCTGGTGGCCTTAATAATTAGAATAGGTCTCTGGTGTGCCTTTGAAAAAGCTCCCATAAGGGCGACTGGTAGGACAAAGTTTTAGTACAGGGGCCTTAATAATTTGAATAGGGTTTTGAGGTGTGCTGTTGTTTATGCTATATATATATATATATATATAGGTATTTATTTATTTATTTAGATATACATGTCCTTGTCTCCATCTCTCTATCTCTCTATCTCTCTATCTATCTATCTATCTATCTATCTGTCTGTCTGTCTATCTATCTATCTATCTATCTATCTATCTATCTATCGAGCTATCTGTCTAGCTCTATATATATAGTATCTATATATATATATATATATGTATGTATGTGTGTATATATATATATTTATTTATTTATTGATTTATTTATTCTAGTCTTGTGTTTTGGAGCCTTCAAGTTCTACCAGTCGTGACCCGTCCACGCTTCCGTACAATGCCAGGGGACACGTCGGGTTTCGATTGAATTAGAGCCACGGGTTTCGGCTTTATAGGGGTCTTGGAGTTTAGGGTTTGGGGGGTAGGGTTTAGGGGTTAGGGCTTCGGGGTTTAGAGGTTTTGGGGTTAGGGTTTCGGGGTTAGGGTTTCGGGGTTAGGGTTTCGGGGTGAGGGGTTCGTGGGTTGAGGGTTTAGGGTCGAGGGTTTAGGACTGAAAGGCTCATGCTTAGGATCTGCAGGGTCTCAACCAGGAAACCTGTACCCCTGACCTCAACGGTGTCAGCAGTCGGGGCACGGCTAGACCCTTAACCTCAAACTCGGGTTTAGGGTTTAGGGTTTAGGGGTTTAGGGTTTAGGGTTTAAGCCCTAAGCCGTAAACCCTGAACCCTAAAACCCTAAACCTCCCGGTAGGGAATTTCGGCTACCTCGGCAGTTGCACAAGGGCCCGCCAACGAAAGAACAAAACATAAACACCAAAAGCCCTAAACCCAAAACCTTAAACCCTAAGCCGCAAACCCTGAACCTTAAAACCCTAAGCCTTAAACCTTAAACCCTAAGCCGCAAACCCTGGAACCTTAAAACCCTAAACATCGACGAGGTTCAAAAGCAGAGCCTCTTCGTCTTAGTGGATCTAAAACCTACTTGTCTGTAGGGCCCCCCGCCCATTCTATACCTTAAGAACCCAAAACCTACTTTTTTTGTAGGATCCCTATAAATCCCAGATTAGGGTTTATAATAAGAACCTACAAAAAAGTGGGTTTTGGGTTCTTAAGGTAGTAGTTTTCAGAAGAAGAGCCTAACCCTAAACCCTAAGTTTGGGGGGGGGTTTAGGGTTTAGGGTTTAGGGTTTAGGGAGTTTGGGGGGGG